AGAGAGAGAGAGAGAGAGAGAGAGAGAGAGAGAGAGAGAGAGAGAATTATTTGAACTGAGGGAGAGGGTGGGGGATAGTTTTCTGGTAATTATATCATGTGGCCATGCGTCACCTGACAAACTCAGTTTGTACTTATTTTGTAGCCATTAGTAAGTACACCGAGACATCTTACGGGACACAAGTGGCCAAAACTGTTCGAAGTTGTTTTTTAAGTCCCTAGTTTTTTGTCATGAATCAAACTCTTTTGTTTATTTTCACCGCGTCCAACAACAACTTTTTTTGTGTGTTTGGTGTAAAATTTCATGTTTTGTGCTAAGTTAGCTCTAAGTTTCGTTTCGCTGAAACTTGCACAAAAGTAAATGATTTCGTACAGATAAATGCACAAAGGTGTTCAAACCGACACTGAAATGTGTGAAACATGTTGATCGCTTCGATCTCGCTTCGATCCGTGCAAATGAAAAATACAAATCCAGAGTCTTTTTGTGTGTCGCAGAGCCGCTGGCCGCCCTCAAGGACATGCGCATCGTGCTGCCCGTGGCGGCGCGGGTGGGCGCGGCCGCACAGCTGTCCTGCCTGTACGACCTGGAGGGCTCGCAGCTCTACTCCATCAAGTGGTACCTGGACGACTCCGAGTTCTACAGCTTCGTGCCCAAGGAGCAGCCCGCTACGCGTCTCTACCCCGATCATGGCATCTCCGTTGACGTGAGTACCTCCAACAACCTCCATTCACGTCATGGTGGACGGACACCATGAAAAGTAGCACTGCAAAAGTCTTACAAACACGCTCAACGTAACTATAATTCCTTTAATTTTGAAAGACTGTTTGTAACGGCCCCGAAGCGAAACCATGCTCATCCACACTTAGTCCGCGACCAGACAGAACATTAATAGTACCCTATTTCAGGTGTGATTTTAAGGATTTTCGATTCCCTATCGCAGTATGAAACACCGCAACCATCTAATCAAATTATTTTGTTCTGGCACAAACAAATGTACGAGTGATAAAAAATGGGGCCAGAACGTGACGCCTGCAGCATAGGCAACTAACTGTCCACCTACGAGCACTCTGTAGGCCACCCGCTAAACCGTAACGTACTGCGCATTGCCTACATGACAGGCGGCTGGTTGTGTGGGTGGCCTATCCTGTATTGGCAGGCGGATGGCTGCCTATGCTACGGGCGTCTCTACTCTAGGCCTTGTCCGCCATAGCCATGCAATAGAGAGTTGAGAGGTGCCAGATCATAGAACACTTTCCACTGTGAAAAATTTTCTCGTAAAGGTACGACATTTCTTGTAATTTGGAATAACAAAATAATGTTGTAAATTTAAGACGGACCACTTTTGCTCCTCAATGAATTCCAAGTCGATACAAATTGATTGTTATTTCACAATTTCTAATTGTAATTTTACGAACTCACATGATGGAAAATTTTCCCGTAAACTTATGACTACTTTTCACAGTGCTCCTAAGTTTGATTTCACTTATTCGGTGTAAGGTTAGCTGTCTTCTGTTTTGAAATGTTTTTTACTTTTCATTTACAAAGACAAAGTTGCCGTGTCTCCTTTGATGACCCCACTTCACATCCATTCCCTCACTTCCGGCACTCGTGTTAATCCATGTAAGGCTAGTCACACAGGAAGCTTTTTCAAGAGAGTGTGCCGCGGGTTAGCTGGAAACATTCCTGCCGCCCGTGCTCGTCAGTGTACTGTGCGGGCGTACAAAAGCAGTCCCCAACATCCTGCCGCGGTGTCCTGCGGCCGGAGGGGAAGGGGGGGGGGCACAGCACATCCGCACTGCACTGTATAATGATCAGGGCTGACCCTTCAAGTTGTTGCTTTACACGGCTACTTGGGACAAAGCCCCTCTCGGGGAAGCGTGGTGTGAGCGAGGCGGAGCGTGGCGGGCGGGGCGGGGTGGGACAGTAACCGCAGCCTCGGGGGTGTTGTTGAGTACTCACACGTGCAGATAGAATTACTGGCTTCCCTTCCGCCCCGCCACGCCCCGCCACGCCCCGCCACGCCCCGCCGCGCCCGCTGAGCAGGCCAAACAGTCCGACAAGACCCGTGGCGTGACGGGGCGTAGTGGCCGCGGGCTCAGAGTCACGGTATTATCTTAATTAACATCGAATACACGCGTGGCCGGGACTGGCGCTGCTGGACCACCGCGCAATGGTTCGTTCCGTGACTGCCATTTCCTCTACAGTTTCTGTGGCAATTTTTTGGTTCAGACTGCAGCTTTGCTGCTTGTTTCCTCTGAAAGAAAAGGGGGTAGAAGGAAGAAACCTTTCGAAGCAACACACTTCGACTTTATTTAGACTTGGGCGTGAATGACCGTCTGTAATGGCACGTGACCGTGAGAAACTGAAGAGGTAAAACAGCGCCCTTTGCTTTGTTCGTACCTTCACTGTTAAACTAAGTGTTCAACTGATCGACACTTGTAAGTGTGCAACTGCAAATTGATTACTTGCAAGTGCGCAAGCCCGTAGTTGTACACTTGCAAGTGTTCAAACTCGGTAGGTGTGCACTTGCAAAGTGTGCAACTCCTCGAATAAACACTTCCTTAGATTAAACGCTCACTGTATAGGAAGTGCTCAACCGAGGAGTTGCGCACTTGCAAGTGCACACCTTCCGAGTCGAACACTTGCAAGTATTCAACTTGCGCACACTTACAAGTGTTGAGCAGTTGAACACCTAGTTTATCATTGTTTTACCGGTGCTTGTGTGTCTCTACAAAAGGTTCTAAAGCGCTCAAATGCACTAAAGTTTCGCACCTTAGCATCAGCGTTGTAGTCTTCATTCCTCGATATCACGAGGCTCGAGGAAACGTTCACGCGTTCTTTGTCATGGATGGTCGTAGGTTTTCGGGAAAATTTTCCGTGAGGTGTGTCGGGAAATCAAAATTTAAAATTCTAAATTTGCAAGCACTTCCTGTCGACTTGGAAATAATCGAAAAGCAAGACTGGGCTACTGCAAATTTACTACATATTTTGTAAATTAACACAACAACAAATGTTGTAAACTTACGAGGTTACGAGTTTGGGAGCCTGTTGGCTTTGCCGTCACTCACCGATGTGTCTTGATTTCTTCACTGTCCGAAAACAGAAAGAAGTTCCGGAGCTAGCCATTGTCAGGTGAACGTTTAGGCCGTTTAGGCGTCCAGAGGTGACGGCACGAGGCCTACTGGTTCGCTACCGATGGCGCCTGCAACGCGCTGGGTGGGCATACCCGCCAGGCAGCTGCGCGGGCCCGGCGGCTCGCCCACTGTGAGCTTCCCCCCCCCCCCCCCCACACTGGGGCAGGACCGGGGGCTCTGATAACAGAAAAACTGCCCCCGTCGGCCCCTGGGA